CCCCTGCGAACGACAGCACGAGGCCTGTTAGCCTCGCCCACCCGCCGGCCGCGGCCCCCGAACCCACCCCGCCCCCCGAGTCACGCACAGGGTCGCAGAAGGGCACGCGTCAGGACGCGCATTCCCACCGCCAGCGCCATCTTGACGCCCCGGTTAGGGTCGCGGCCGGCCCAGGTCCAGGCCCCGCCCCGCGGCCCGCTCCTCCCAGAGGCCCTGCTCCGGCAGCCCCGCCCCACTCGGCTCGCAGGGTGTCAAGGCCGCGGGGCACGGCTGAGGCCAAGGTCGCGTGTGGGCCGCTGCACGGGGCAGGCGCTTCCCCACCGCCTAGCCGGCGAACCCCGTGCGCCGCCCGTAGGCGGCGGCGCGATGGCAAGTTAGCCCGCTTCCCCTGCCGTCCACCGGCCAAAGCTAAGCTCGAGTCACTCGGGCAGGACTGCTGAGGCCAGGGCTGGCTGCACCGAATCCCAGAGGGTTGCGAGTTCAGGCGGTGACAAGGGACTGGGGTGGAAGCTCCCGCTACCCCGGCATGTGAGCAGCAAAGGCAACCAGATGTCAGCAGGGCTGTCTCTCCAACTGCACCCGCAGAGACTGCAGTACTAAGATGGGGGGCTACCGGCTGCCTCCCGTGTGAGCTCCGCCTCGGCCGCGGGCGCGGAGGGGCACCGGAATCAAGCGGGTAGTTGAGGCAGGCATGGCGCTAAGAGCAGCCCATGCACCTTCCCCTTCCGCAGCTGGGCAGCAGGTGCCCACACTCCTGGCAGGAGCCCCTCCAGGCAGCAGGATGAGCTGGGGGGAGCAGGAAGCCTGTGTGCTACCTGCCAGGACGCTGCCTGGTGCTGACCGTCCAGTCCACACAGTGAGTGGCTGAGACTTTAGTTTTTAACGTCTGATGTGTTTCCACATCTTCCTTCAACACAAAAGCATGGCTGAGTGGCAGAACAGCCTCGGCTGCCCAACAGGCAGCACACGGGTGGTAAAATCTTCTCTTCTACGTCTCCAGCAGCAGCAAGCCGGTGCTCCGCGGAGCCCGCCGGCGGCTCTCCTGGCTCAGAGACTCTGGAAAGAAACTAGAATGCAGTCCTGTGTTTTTAATTCCCTCACAGTTTGTGGCCAAGGACAGGAAAGAGGCAGTGAAGCCAGTACTCACTGTATTCTAATCCTGTTTATTCAACACAATCCCTTCACTCTACACAACAAAGTACAAGCACAACGGCGCCTAAAATGCTACAAGTTACAAAACTCAAAACAACAAATTTATAGTACTGACTGTACAATAAAAGCCAAGAGAAGCAATGTACATGTTGCCCAGGTAACCTGCAAGAGCACCCTGAGCAGCAGCTGCAGCAGGGGGTGGTCCATGATGACCCTGCAGAGCTGGCTCTCGTTATGCCCACCAATTTCAGAGGAAGGGAGACATGGGGTATGTGCGTGCGTGAGTACACGTAGAAACAGAACCATTTCCTGGAACTAACAGGGGCCGTTTGACCGCAGGTGCTGGAAGAGGAGCCGATCAGGGGAGCAGGGCCAAGGCGAGCAGGAACGGCAGCTGCACCCAGGTGCACCCTTTCCTGAGGGACCCTGCAGACCAACAAGCGATGGCAGGACCGGGACCCCCGACCGGCCCCCAGTCATTTGTGGAAATGAAACAGGTACCCCACCCCCAGGCTGGGGCCACACTACCACCTGGAGCCCTGCTTTGTCCCTGCTGGCTTTGCCACTGGATGGACTCTCTTAGGAACTGGAAATATGGGAGCTTTCTAGCCAGAAACCTGGAGGGCATGCTTACAGGCACAACCCCAAACCATGAACACTGCTCTGGAACTCTGCCTTCAGAGGAAACGTCTCAGTTGCTGTCCTCGAAGCCTGCCCTGAGTGAGGAATTTCCAACCAACCCTCCTTTGGCTAGAAAAGTGACAAAGCTGAAGTGGATGGGATCGAAGTCACAGGGCGCAGAGCTCCGGGGGCCCTGCTTATCGGGAGGAGTTGGAGCTGGAACGGCTCCTGTGGCGGCGGCGGCCAGGGGAGCGAGACCGCCGGCGCACGGGGGACCTGCGCCTCGGGGAGCGTGACCTGCGGGAAGAGAAAAGACCACATCGCACATGGAGGCCGACATCCCAGACACCGCTCCGCATCACGGACGGCAGGGGCAAAGCTGGCTTCTTGAAGGAACAATGCTGTACAGTTTCAGTCAATGCTTTCAGTCAGGATGGCTCCGGGGATGGCACCGACACGGAGCCCTTGGGAAGGAAAAGGGGATCTGTTGGGGGAGACCCCCTTTCCTGAGGGCTATGGAAAGGGCAGCTCAACACCACTAGCAGAGGAGGGCCAGGCTCTGGCCTCTGCCAAGGGACTCGGACTCAGCCTCCTCTCCTGACCCTTCCTGTGTGTGTGTGTATGTGTGTTTTAATATTTATTTAAGTAGTCTCTATACCCAATGTGGGGCTCAAACCCACAACCCTGAAATCAAGAGTCCCACGCTCCTCCCACTGAGCCAACCACGCACCCTACCCTTCCTGTCTTCTTAGCTGGGAAGGGGAAAGGGACTGTACTCCAGGGAATCCTGGTGCAACCTGCAGGGCTGCACCTTCTGCCCGACCCTCCCTCCAGCAGCAGCCACCCTGACCCCCATGCAGCATGGGGGCGGGCAGGGCTGAGTAAGGTTCCAAAGTCATCACCGTCACACTGTGTTTGTAAATGAAACAAATCCACACCGGCCCCAAGCAGTCCCCTCTAAGACTCCAAATCGCCCTACCTTCTTCTCATTCGTGGGGGCGACCGACGCCACATGGGAGGTGGTGGCAGCATCCTCCTCGGAGGGCTGAATCGCCTGGGGGGTGGCCGAGGCCAGGGGGCCAGCACAGCGGTGGCAGTGATCTCCTGGCCGTCGATTTGTCCTGTCGAAAAAAGGACCAAGTCCCAAAATATCTGACAAGCCCCCACAGCCTAGGCCAGCCAGTGCCAGATGTAGGCCTAGCCTGGTAAGCAAGGACAGGGGAACTAAGCTTGTCACAGAAATGCTGACACAGTTACTACTACTGGAGGTTTCATCAGGAAATCTGTAGGGGAGCACGGAATCTCATGGGGAACTCAATCTTGAGGCACGGGGCCACCTGATGCACAACCACCTCCAAGAGGAAGCGATACCTGAATCCACTCAATGAGGGGAAGGTCTGTGCCCTGACCCTGAACTTCCTCCTCTAGAACAGTGGGAGGGGGCAAGCAAGAGGAGTGGGGACATTTTGGGGGCTCCGCAGGACTGAGATGGGGGTAAAGTGTAAGAACTCAAGAGGGACCGCCCTCAAATAGGTGGCCTCCAACCAGGTAGCCCAGTCCTCTCCCCTGCTGTAAAAGCCATACCCCACCCAATACCTCCCAGGTGGCCAGAAGGTGGCCTCAGGGTGCTGGGTCCCCATGAGGGCAGTGTCCATTATAACTGGACCAAGACTCTAGAGCTTGGTGGTGGAGGTGGGAGGGATAATCTATGACTGCATCATAGTTCAGGAGGAAGAAAAGACTACTGGGGGCGAGGGAACAAAATAAAACAAGGTTCAGCTGTCAAGTCTGTCTTAAGAGTTTGGAAAAAGTGCCTCAGGCCAAAAAACCAGGCGTGTGAATGCAACTGAGTAAGAATAGTGAAGGGTGGAGGCCTGAGGAATCTTTAGGGCCTCAGAAAAAGAAAGAGCAAAGAAAGGCAAGGCATCGACCTAGGAACTCCAGGGGAGCACGCACCCTGACCCCAGTCCAGGGACTGCTCAGGGGACTAAGCACAGCCCTTGTATGCCCCGGAAGGGTGGAGGGTTCTTTTATCTTCTCAATTCCTACCCTCAAGAAAACAGCAAAGCTATTGTGGGAATAACTTGGGCAGGTAGACCTGTGTTCAGAACACACTCAAAAGACTTAACTAAATGCAGCCTAAGGTCCTGCCCTGGCCCACTGCCAAAGCCAGCCCAAATTAGGAATTTTCACAGGCACTGACCATACAGCAATGAGGACAAATCTGGCCAGCTCCCCCACGCATGGTGCACAGCACAATATGCGGACACACACTCAAGTCCTACCAGAATCTTAAAACATGGGGAATATGTACAGCCCTGCACACCCTGGATATGGCCAAGTGTCCTTGGATTTTTAGCAAGTGCTCAAACTCTCAAAGATGCATGACTGAGGATCTCTAAAATGAAGGTGTGATTCATAAGGTCAAGAGCTGCTGTGTATAGCCTGATGGGCCACAATTTAAGCAGACTGAAAGAGAATTAGCTTGGTGGTAAGGAAAATTTCCTAGTATCCAAGCTCTACCAGGGCTCAAGGGCAACTACCCATCAAACTGCTGCACTGTTTTTTTTGTGTGTATAACGGGGCCTCCAAGGTTCTGGGGTGTTCAGACTCTCCTCCCTAGGTGGCCTGGCAGCCCACAGTGTGCTACGGGCAGTCCTGGTTCTTGGCCTCGGCTGTCTAGATTACAACAGCATCGAGCTGGGGCAGAGACAAGTTCTAAGCTCCTTAAAACACTGACTTGAAGACGAAATGGAAACTGGCCATCCAAAACTATTCCCAAGTGTTCAACTGTTGTTAAAACCATTCTGCTCCATACAGAACAGCTATAAATGTCACAAACAGTTAAGATACAAGTTTTAGGAAAATGGATAAAATGTGTGAATTCATCAAAGTAATCCTAAAAACGCTGAAATGTTAGCACAACAGAAAATGACTCTCAGAGCATTAAAGGAAACACTCCCATATAAAAGCCAAATGCTTCATTATTCATACTCCTAATGTAGTCTTTATTAAAAAAAAAAAAATTCCTTCGTTTAATCCTTAAGCTTTCACAGATTGGAAAATTCTAAAAATGCTAATGTATTCATATTTGCTGATCTTTTTCCAAGAATAATGTCCCATAGAACTTGTGTTCAGTAAACACACCCCCCCTGGTTAAGAACCGGAACCCCGAGAGAGCTCCAGGGCGATTGTGATGTGCAGCCAGACTGGAAATCAGTTCTAAGGTCCCTACGTGTGGCAGGTAGCTGGTCTTGCACAGGGAACAAAGAAGGGAGCTCAGTGGAGGGCTGGCAGGGTCACCCACCTCCATCCATGTGCTTCAGTGCCTTCTCGGCTTCGTCTGGGTTCTCAAACTCCACGTATGCATAGCCTTTAGACAGATGGGGATGCATCCTTTCTACAGGCATGTCAATCATTTTAATTTTCCCATAGGTGGAGAATATTTCCATGATGTGGTCCTAGAGGAAAGAACGGTCACTCTGATGCATACCCACAATTACCCGTGTGGGAGCTGAGAAGTCACCACACAACAGCTATGCCTCGGCACCTGGGGTAAGTCTCACACAGAATAACCCTGCTCGACGCACCATCCCGCCAGTCCTCTGAGAGCCTATGTTCTCAGTTCTGAAACCTGCTTCTCTAGTTTTCCATTTAAAATATCTGCAGAAGAGACACACCCTATTGTCCATTGGATGGATCCAAGATCCCTCACCTTAGTCACATTCCTGGTGAGCCTACCGATGTGTACTTTGGTGGGCTTAGGGGAAGGACTCCGCCTTTTCCTTTCCTTTTCATCTCTTTTGGGTGGTTTGGATCTGATTGAAAAAAACAAAACACCAGAAACAATCAATTTCTGTCAAGTCAAAATTTCTTTTAGTGGGGCTGCTAACTGCCACGATGACAGTTTTTTTTTTTTTTTTTAAAGATTTTATTTATTTATTTGAGAGAGAGAGAGACAGAGAGAGAGCATGAGAGGGGGGAGG